TCATGGTAGTGTACTCAGTTATATGGAGCCGACTGCCGCATTCAGTAAGAGCAAGCCAATCTATCCATCTTTTCAAAACTAAGCTAACTCAACTTCTACTCCTGCCAAATGCAGCTAACTTGTTTGAACGACAGATAACGATCGATGAGCCATGTTTCCAAGGCCAGTGGAATATTTAAGATGAGCACATAACCTAGTCGTCACGCCGTCACACCCATCCTTGCATACAAACTCTGTTTCCTTATGGTTCTCACACTAACTAATTTGGTGACAGTTGTAGATGGATTTCAGTCAAGATCAGTAGGTGCTATATCCGTGTAAACCCACGTCCAATCTGATTAAGGTGTAAATTTCTCTTAAAGTTTTTTCCCATTCTTTACACCTGCTCTACATTGCAAACTGTTTTCTCTTCTTCACCCGTAAAACTTCTCAATACCCTCAGGATGGTATTTGCGGTATCAGTTTTTCTTCTTTTCGATCGCCTGCAGTTTTCGGATCTCCTCTTTGAATACTTCGGGAGGTTATATTTTTTATTTAATTTTGCTGGGACCTTAGGTACAATTTGAATTGGACAACCATCGGACATTAGCCATTTATTAATCGTTATTGATCTTTTATCTCATTTCTAGATATTCTTCTTCCAGTGCTGGCCGCGACTGGGCCAACCTGCTGAGATGACGGATTGAAACTACCCATCTAAGTAGTACACCCACATATGGCGGATTACCACAGACTCACTGGTGAATATAAAAGTGTATAACTCGAAACAGCTGAATTGTGGATTGGGCTGTACGGCAGGTGTGCCTAGCATATAACAACAGCTTCTAGAAAAATTGGTAAACATGGTGCTTTTAAGCGATCTCAGCATATGGTCAGATGAGGCGTAAAAGTGCGGATGAAACTCTAGATGGATGGTCGTATTACTCCACTTGAACTGCTTATCACGTCCACATTCATCCCTGCTCTTAACTTTTCCGTATTTTTTATTACTTTTAACTTATAATTATGTTAGTTCCTTAGAACATCAGATAGCACTGAATAAGTTGCGTTGGCTCAGGCACGTACTACGTATGCCCGGTTATCGCTTACCGTGGAGGGCGTTGCTTTGTTTGCCTGATGTGGTGTGGCGCAACGCCCAAAGTGCGCGGCGAGAAATGAAGTAACTGACGACCAAACTCAGTGCCGTCGGTCCGTCTCGCTTTCCCGACTGGAGTCCACAGTACCCGCCTTGTGCTTGGCTCGAGACCTTAAAGGACATGGCTCGCAGTCGACATCAGTGACACGTCTGTTGTCTTCTCTTAGTCGGACTGTCTGCTTAAAGTGTGTTTAGTTCTGAGTTGTCTGCGGGGTAATGGCTGATTATGACGCGGCGCAATGTAAGCCGCAAGGAAGCTGTCTCATCGATACCGCCTTGTCTTTGCACGATAGCTAGCTGTTTGTGACGGGATGTTGTTAACACAATGTTTGTTTATGGCATCAAGTTTTTCAGGTAGGTTCCCTTCTCTCCCTGTTGTTATTTTTCCTTCGTATGTCTTCACGCTTGTACGGCAGCGAGGCATCGGTTCCTAATGGCTGATATAGTGCTGTTGTATTTGTTGATAGAACACCCTAAAAGCTACGTTGGGGAACCACTTTGAAAAACTGGAACAATTTCCCCCACTAACCGATCATGCTGTACATAGTGATCAAATCACGTAGTTAGTCCGTGTTTTGCACTGTGTGAAAATATACCATGCAATTATTCACATCACCTTTACTTTCGCGCTGAACTTACTCCTCGAAGTTTATTCAGCTGGTCATTAGAGCACATAGCAGAACTGGCCGCACCTCCTGAATACGTCGACGGCCTGGCCAGCGGACAACCTTGACAACTGGTCAGCTCTGTGTCGAGATCTGCATATGAATCTTGTGGACACCGTATACACTGCGCAGGAAGCAAAAAGAAAATAATACTGATTATATATATATATATATATATATATATATATATATATATATATATATATATATATGACGTGACCAATAACAACGTGTATAACAACAACCACAACGTGTAGAGGAAACGACGCAACCAAATAAGTAACTTTGTACTCAGACGCGTTCTGTCTCGCAACATGTCTGCCATCGTGTGTAAGTTTGGGTCATATCTGTTGTATCCCGAAAAAACAGCAGACCAGAGTGGCACCGGAACGGATGTATGGAGGAACCTGTCCGCACACACGCTCAGTACAATTAAATCGATAGAGGTTCGCATTGCAACCAATCAAATGCAAAAGCACATGATAGGCCAACGTGTGCTAAATAGAAGTGTGAGTAGGTTAAGCGAATCGAGAGCAAAAACAAAGCAAAGTATTTGAATACGACAATATCCAAGGACGTTTCCAACCTGCTTTGCTCTGGGTCCTTTCGTCTCTAGCTCTGAAGCCCACAGTGCCCGATCACGGCCAAATTTGGGACTATTGCCTCTGTTACTCATTGGCCACCATGATATCTCTCCCAGCAGACTTCAGTGCGCTCAAACAGGGCGGGGTGATGGAATTTCTGAACAAACATTCTATGTACATACAGGTCGGCGGTTGGCAGTCTGTCTTATGCGAACGTGTAATGGCCAACGTCGTCATCAACAATGTCGCCATCGTACAGGAACAATGCTCTGAGAGCAGTGGTAACCAAAACAGACAATCTCTGAGCACGTTTTATGCCAACTGCTCAAGTCTCATTAATGTGGAACGGAACTCCTGCACCGTAGCGTTGTAAGCTCGTCTGTTCAGAGGGAGGTCACATCAAGAGTGACAGACATCGTCAACCTAAGCAGCACAATTTTAGCTGCCTACGATGAATCACACACTATGGCGATGTCGCCAACATACTCCAAGTCACGAAGTAGATCTTCTTAGTCTACTCATTATTGTCTCATCTCTACTCTGCATTCACACAACGAATCTACGTCGTCACGTCTCACATGCCTAGTCTACATCGGAACGTTTTACTGTGCGTAAAATGGGTTACATATGGGAGGAAACAGGATGCTTGCCAAATGATGATTGGTGTGGGAACATTGCGGCTCACCCGTCTATTGTCCGATCACTCGTGGCGAGGTACAGATAGTGGAATGGGTTCAGCATGTAGCTACCCGGCTCATCCACAATTCACGGGTCATGTAGTACGAAGACTATTGCATCAGACTAGGGCTGTACACCCAGTCGTATCGTCTGTTTAGAGTTGACCTCATTATGGTTGGTGGCATCCGGTTTCGGATTTGCCTGTCACTGCGGCCAGCCACAGGACGCCTGCGCCTACAGAGGGACCATGGGTGACTTGCGCTGCACCACCCGCAGCTCAAACCACACATCCCATATCCAGTGTAAACCCGAAGGAATAAGACCTGGAGGCATGTGGATGGGGGCCACATTTCATCAACGGAGCCGGCCCACACTCCTTCACAGGCAAACACAAGCACGCTGTATTTGGGGAATCAAGCGCACACAAGGCGGTGGCTGGACCGTAGTCCACTCCACACTGAGTGCATGGAACCGCTCTTCGAAGCTAGCACGGCCACATGGACAGTGCATCCCGTCCGCTCCAGCAACAACCAACTGTCTCCTGGAGCTAGTATGGACGAGGTAGTGGGTAATAGATAGGTAGGCACCTTGTCAACCTGCACATCAAGCGCAGCCACACCGGGGGCCTCATTATAATGCACCGGATATTGCATGTGAGTCAGTTTCCCATGTTGAAGCCACTGCCGCGCTTGCGCGCACCAAGCAACACACGCGGACACCGGTACACACTGGTGGTATCGGATTTGAAGTGTCGTGACTTCTTTCTACGAACCTTACGCTACTCACAAACACCTTTCAAGTAATGTGCCATCGCCATTTGGACTTCAGAAGGACAGTTACTTCGGTCCCTTGGGAAGTGACGAGTGAGTGAGCCAATCTGCAACACCAGGACAGTTACTGTGAGCTCATTGGCAATACGTCGCGCACCAAGCATAAGTCATGTATTAAATTGCGCACCTAATCGTCATTCCTCGGTAGCTCAGTGGTAGAGCAGCGGACCGGAACTTCGTGGGACCGAGGTTCAATTCCCCGTCGAGGCAGATTACTGTGTGCAGTTTAATCGTGACTATACTTTCTACGAACCTTACGCTACTCACAATTACCTTTCAAGTATGGCTTACCCTTTATACTTCGATCGGTGAGTTTTAAACTATTAGAACGGCTTGCCTGGGACAACAGTCGAGTCAAAATCGGTGTCGGAATTCAATCAAGTCCTAACTACCCACTTTGCGGATTAGAGATTTATGCAGCACATCGCACTCGTATAAAAAATGGTGCAGCTGTGATATGCCGTAAACGTGCAGGAATCAACGGCGTGAATCTGCGCACGTTTGCTATCTAACTAGGATGGAACAATGCAGATGTTTATCTCCGAGCTCTCTGTTAGTATTCCGTATTGAACGCCCGAAATTAATGAACTCCAAGACCGTTTTCGAACTGGTTTGATCTCACCTAGCTCGAGGTAGCGAGCACTTGAACCCGGGAACGTTAACCGTCCGTTCTTCGTGCCAAGTCACGCAGCTACGGCTGATCTCACCTCCGTGTCGGCTTCTATTGATCTTCTGCCAGTAACGATAAATTGCTTTCATATTCTGATTTAAAACAACAGTTTCCCACTATTAGTCAAGCCAGGCACTAAGTCTATAACCCTTCTCAACCAATTGCATCCATAACGCTTTCAATCTCCCCCTTAAGGTGATCATGTTCCTCCATAGACCTCCCAATATAGTCCTTTACGCTATTAAATTGCATCCAACGGGCGCATGCACACTTAGAAAATTCGCACTGTTCGTTGCGTAACTAATCCCCTATCAGCCGATCGTCAAACTGAGGAGTACACAGAGTGGGATGTTATTGACTGTGTATGGCGCTTGATTCCCAAATACAGCGTGCTTGTGTTTGCCTGTGAAGGAGTGTGGGCCGACTCCGTTGATGGAACGTGGCTCCCATCCAGATGCCTCCCGGTCTTATTCCATCGGGTTTACACTGGATATGGTGTGTGTGGATGGAGCTGTGGATGGTGCAGCGCAAGTCACCCATGGTCCCTCTGTAGGCGCAGGCGTCCTGTGGCTGGCCACAGTGACAGACAAATCCGAAACCGGATGCCGACAACCATGGATTAATCATTCGGTGCACACTAGCATTTAGGGGCGTTCGCGGCCGTTGGATGCAACTTGATAGCTACAAGGACCATCTTGAAAATCTATGGTGGAACCTGACTTCTTTAAGTAGGCATTTGGATGCGATTGGCTGAGTAAAGGTATAGGTGTATGGAAGTAGCCGAAACAAGGGCTGCCACCTAGGGTAAACCAATTTTGTGAACCGTGTCCGCAATAATCGGCCAGGTTGCGAAAATGAGATCCAGTGTTTTTGACAACGTAATCCAAAAGGTAGTTCCATGTATGATGAAACTCCATTGTGCATTCCAGGCAAACTTCAACCACAACGGAATTCGTTTCGGGCTACGAACTCGTTTCTCGATGTGTAGGAACACCCGGTGGCTCGAGAAATTGTCCACATCCTTCCACTTTCGTATTAACGCACCTTTCCCTCTGCAAGTTCCCTTCATTTATTTTTGTATCGTTTTGCATATTGGCTGCAAAGATAGTGCTTGCATCTGTTGTGCGATTTCCTTAGGAAAGCGATCTCGGGGTGATCGTGCAGAACGCTCTTGGCTGCTCGAGAAAGGTTGAAAAGGCATAAAAAAGAGTCGGTCAACGTCTTGGACCCTTACAGAATGCTTTCGGAAACTTCGAGCCATCAATCTTCCCGCAGATGCTGAACGCCTACATGAGGCCTCACGTGGGATCCGCGATCTAAGTCTGGCATCTCTGTCGCAAGCGCGACGTCCATACACTTGTAGCTCCACAACGTAGAGCGACCACACTCTTTAGAAGATTGTTTCATCTTTCCTACCAACGCAAACTGCAGTCCTTGCGATTGTACAGTGGTGAATATCGACGTTAGCGAGGGGACCTAATCATCGCTTATTTAATACTGACGAACCCAACTCACCCATGTCGCAATCTGTTGCAGCTGAGCCAAAATGTCAACCTGAGAGGCCATCAGCTCAAACTGGCTACGCACTACGGTTGACTTGATTGTCGGCGAAATGTTTTCTCCATCAGAGTGTCCCTTGCCCGCAAAGCCCTTCCGACTCACGTTATCCTTGCCCCTACATTAACACTTATCAAAAAACCTCTTGATGAAACGCTTTCAAACTTGCATCACTTGATTATAGTCCGTTCCACCTGGAGGGCGAAACAACGCAAACGTAACCATGTACTTAGCGGCCCTCTCCGCAACATGATGGTGAGGATACATACAGTAGTGTCTATGTGATTAGCCTGGATGTATCTAAACTGGATTAACCTATCACATCCGTCAAATGAAGAAACAAACGAGTGACCGTTGTCGTCTCCATTTTTATTTCGCACACACTTACTGAACTTTAACAGCTCTCTATACTATTTGGTGTGTGCACATCCCACTTCCATTTCAAACTATCATTATGCATTAGTGCATTTAAATCGGTAGACGCTTAAAATGAGAAATTACTCTTTTCTTAACCATTACAACCTTATTTTTTACTCCAACTATCCTACGGGACTGGTCAAGCACACGCTATTTTACCCGTGTTAACTTATTGTTCATAGGCCACCGCTTCTATGAGTCGTCGGTTTTCTTCTTCTCTGGGTTTTTCATATTGTCATGGTTTGGACTGCTTCGCGGCAGGCGCCTTGACTAATAGGACACTGGGCTGCGCGAGCGACGTTTGATGCACGATTAATAGCTAGTTTCCGCGGGTTTTAGTAACCAAATAGTGATGTTGTATCGTAATCCGAACGCTTGTTTGTACTTACACAATAAGATTGCAAGCCAGACGGTCGTTTTATCTGCGGAATCCTCCGTAGTTCGCATTCTTTCGGTCCCCCACAGGGAACCGTACCTATGACCGCTAGTAGCTTGCACCACTAGCCAGCAGGTTATGTCACTGAGGAGCCATGGGGGACAACAGCTGAGCATCATAGACTGAAAACCAACTGCGATTTAGCCCGACCCGTCCTCCACTGTCGCACAGGTTACTGCTCGTGCACAGCACAGTGGTTGGTCATCAGGTGTCAGTACTTCCCTACCGTTGGTCGTGAATCCACACAACATTTTGGAGATTGTTGCTTTGTGTGCACTAAAAATAGCTCGTTTATGAGCTCCTAACCACGGCATCAAGTGTTATCGCTAGAGCTCACTGGTCTAATATCCAAAGCGTCAGCTACCAAACATCTCGTGCTGAGTTCCATTCCTACTTGCTTGAAGTGTCCGAGCAAGTATGAAACTGTTGAGAAACGTTGAAAGTCCCTCGTATCTGATGAGGTTTATTTAGAAGCTACGAGTCGTAATCTAAGCGAACGGTGGTTGCTCCGAAGTAGGACAATGCGGCCACCGTTACTTTCTCCACGTATAACGTATACTCGCTCCATCTGAGGTTTCTAAAGATAGGGAAGTTGATGAGAATGTTCTCTTGTCTCAACACAAACACTGACGGTTTACACATACCTACCTTCCAATTGAGTACAAATCATTCACAACCGTGTATTAGTACGCTATTGACCTCTCATTCTCTGGTGCTTCAGTCTCTCCCCACCGTAGTATAATAGACCGGCAGCGATACATAATGTTGCTTATCTTTTTTATATTCGTTGGAGTAAAGCGCTAAATTTCTCTCTTTGCATGTCGAAAGATCCTCCTACTGAGTAGGTTCAACTTTTGTGAAGCAGTGCTGGTGGTAGCTGAAATATCAGTCAAACAGAAGGTCTAAAGAATTTAGACCACCAATAAACCTTTGATCAAAGCATGAATCGGCAAATCGTAGACATATCCTAGAGCACAGCGTAATGTGATTGGTTCGTACGGTAACATTGGCCCGGTGACATTCCGCCAATGACATTTGGCTCACAACGTAGCGACGAACGAAACAAATAACCAATCACAAGTCACTTTGAAAAGCGAACCATCAAAACACACTATGCGTCAAAATAAAGTCATTTGTTTTGTCCTTAGGGGCGTATTTAAGGACCAATATCTTATTTTTTGAAACCTCTGCATCATGTACTTGCAAAATGGATGTTTTTCCCCTATTGTCAGCTACTGGGTCAAGTTAGGGTGTCTGTGGCTTACCATGTAACTATCAAGTGCCCTTGCTCTGCGGTAGCCAATCGGACAGGTGCGTTCGTGATAGTTCAGCCTTTGAATTGAGTGGTTCGGAGGTCGTTGGTACGAATCAAACAGTTCTTTTGGTTCCATTTTTGGTTCGCACCTTTGAACCACAGGAACAAGCTTCATCTTGGCCGCATTAACCGGATACCGATGAACCAGATCATCGTCTTTGGAGAAAAACCTACACCTTGGTGCAAGCTCGTGTCTGTGATAGGAACAGTATGAGATGTCAACGGAATGATACTTTGAAGTGAAGTATTTGATCAGCAGAAATACTATCCATCAATGGAAATAATTTTTTAGCGGTGCAATTCATACTTTCGGCATTCAAGCTCAAACCTGCCCAATTTTTTGTGGTTTTGAAGCAAAGGACGCATTAGGATTTTCAAATGTCTCTTCTATTCAGGTGTTGTGGTGTTCACCGAGCAACTTGAGTGCAGTCGTTGCATCAATCTTCTAAGTGATTTCATCACACCTGAACAGGTGATATCACGGCAAATGTGAATAAAACATCTGCGACCGGGTTTCCCGTCCCCATGAACCCCGCAGTAACTGAACAAACCTCCTAAGCAACCAGTATTTTCAGTTAGTTTGAATCAACTCTATCCGGTTGCTTTTCTGTAGGAGGACAGCACCGTAAATTGGGACCAGCTAGATCCCAAATTCTGAGGCGAACGGTCACACTGAAAGGACTCGATGTAACAGATGGAACCTTATTTTGAGATCTATGCCGTGGTTGCATGCTGGCTAGGATACTGCAGGGGCACCGAAAGCATGCCAAAGTTTGGACTCAGAACCAGGACTTAGGGGTTACGAGCCTAACACCTAACACGGATTTATATATATCCTCATGAGTAGGGGATTTTTGATGTAATTACTTTAGAGTTTTTCATACCAGCTCCAAAACCAGATAGTTCTCTACATGTCCGGAAAAACACTGGACTGCAGTTTCAGCTTTTGGTCATAAACAATGATGCGCATCCATCAGATCCATATGGATTCGAACCCATGACCACCAGCGACTTGCACCGTCAGTCAGCAGCTTATGCCACTGGACCACGTGGGACAGTGTTGAGCCGTCATGATTTGCAAGCCAATTGCGATGTAGCGCGTCTTATTCTGCATTCCCATGCAGGTTACGAACGTTGTGGAGGATAGGGTTGTCCAAAAGGATGAAACTGCAATCTAGTGCTTCTCCGGGCATATGAAAGACTACCTGAATTGGGACCTGGTGCGACATATATATATATATATATATATATATATATATATATATATATATATATATATATATATATATGGAAGCGGCACGTGGGGAAACCAAAGTTACGTTACCAGGACATGATTAAAGTGAGCCTTACACGTTCTAATCTTGATTGCAGATCATGGGAATCGAAGGCGGTTGATCGTGGTGCATGGCGCGATCTAATCACGAAGGCAGTTGCTGAAGTGCGGGAGAAATCCCTCATGCATGCAGAGAAGAAGCGGCAATTGCGGAAGCGGCAAGCACCGATGGATTGTACTCCATCGACATCGAGCGCATTGTGCTGTAGAACATGCGGTCGCGAGTGCCTGAGTCAGGCAGGCCTAGTGAGCCATGAGAGAGGTCACTCGGGACCACTGCCGAAGCGACGACGGGTCCCGCAGTGAACGTAGGCAGCACCGGCGCAGCGTTTGTAGGCACGCTGAATTCGATTTACTAACCGCATGCTTGCATGCTAAGTCTCTTTTTTTTCAGGTGGTGGGTTTTCGGTTCTCTCCTAATGTCTTTCTTTCTCATACAAATGTCTAGTGGGCCATGAGCTGTGCCATTTGGGGCCACTACAGAAGCGACGACGGGTCTTGCAGAGAATCACCGCGAGCCGGCGCAACGTTTGTAGGCACGCTGAATTCGATTTACTAACCGCGTGCTTGCATGCTAAGTCTCTTTATTTCAGGTGGTGGGTTTACAGTTTTTACCTAATGTTTTTCTTTCTCCTATAAATATCTCCCTGTACTCTATTCCATTAACTTGCACACATCGCCTAAGCCAATTGCATTTGATTTCCATAATATTTTTGTGTTCGTGGCATTCTGTGAACTATATTTCCTGACCTCGTGCACTTAGCTAGGATTTGTTTGTAAACAATTTATTATATATGCTATTTAATTAAGGTTTATATCACCGTTTCCTTATGCATTAATCGAGTTTTTCTCTTTCGAGTTTTTCTCTTTCTCTTTCTTTCTCTCTCTCTCTCAAGTGTTTGGCAGTTGTTTGATATCCCCGGTGTGGATACGCTTGATGTGCATGTTGACAAGGTGCCTACCTGTCTATTACCCACTACCTCGTCCATACTGGCTCCAGGAGACAGTTGGTCGTTGCTGGAGGTGACGGGGTGCACGGTCCTTGTGGCCGTGTTAGACTCGAAGAGTGGTTCCATGCACTCAGTATGGAGCGGACTACGGTCCATCCACCGCCTTGTGTGCGGTTGATTCCCCAAATACAGCGTGCTTGTGTTTGCCTGTGAAGGAGTGTGGGCCGGCTCCGTTGATGAAACGTGGTTCCCATCCGCATGCCTCCCGGTCTTATTCCTTCGGGTTTACACTGGATATGGGGTGTGTGGTTGGAGCTGTGGGTGGTGCAGCGCAAGCCATCCATGGTCCCTCTGTAGGCGCAGGCGTCCTGTGGCTTGCCACAGTGACAGGCAAATCCGAAACCGGATGCCGCCAACCATTTATATATATATATATATATATATATATATATATATATATATATATATATATATATATATGAGAGGGTGATCGCACGAATCCTGCTCAGCCGCCTCGTCAGTCAGTTCCAGGCATGGAATGTGACGCATGAGCAATGTGGATTCCGTTCGGGTCGCAGCACTATAGATATGGTATGTGCGGCTCGTCAGTTGCCGGGAAAGTGCAGTGAGCGACGACAGCCGTTGTACTCGCTGTTTGTGGGTTTCACTAAAGCTTTTGATACGGTGGACCGCAAGGCATTGTGACTGGTGTTGGGTAAGTTTGGTTGCCCGCGTAAGTTTGTACGTTTACTTGAATGTCTGCACAGTGGTATGCGAGCGAGGGTGCAGCTGAGTGGAGAGACCTCGGATGACTTTGCAGTTGTCTCTGGTGTGAAGCAAGGCTGTGTCTTAGCTCCTGTGCTGTTTAATTTATATCTTCGTGCAATGATATGCTTTTGATGCCACTTGTGCTGACAGTGTTCGTCTGGAGCACCGTATTGATGGTGGGTTGCTGAACAACCGTCTTTTCGATGCGAGAACCCTAGGCTGTGAGACAGTATCTATATGTTGCTGTTTGCTGACGACTGTGCGTTGTTTGCACACAGCGCGGATGAGTTGCAGCAAATGGCTAGTGCTGTGGTTTCGACAGCGGCGAAATTCGGGCTCACCATCAACACTAACAAAACTGTCTATCTCTTTCAGCCTTCACCGGAGGTGCAGCGTGCAACGGTGCCACAAATGTGCATTGGTGACGACGTATTGGAAACCACATCCCATTATCTGTTACCTTGGGAGTAACTAGCGGATACACAGGGAGCTGCGTATCCGATTATCGAAGGCAGTGGCGTCATTCGGATAGCTTGAGCACCGAATGTGGACTAACCGCTAGCTTACCGTTGACATGATGATGATGGTCTTCAAGCTCATGGTGCCCTCCGTTCCTCTACACGGCATCGTAACGTGGACGATGTGTAGGTGATTCGCGCAGCGATTTCGGGTGGTAGCAATTCCACAAGCACAATTAATCTAGTTTGAAATACAAGAATCTGGGAAACCTTGCACCGTAAAACAAAGAGCCTCTTGCGAATTAGATACAAAGCGAACATTAATTATTGGGAAATGGTTGAGAACTTCTGGATGGACATGTTTCGCCACTTTGTTGTTCCTCATGCAAATCTGAGCTGTGCGGGAACCGAAATGGTGTCCAATAGATCACCTAATTACGCTTAGTATTGAACTACTCATAAAATATCAGTGACATGAATTCCTCGTGCAATTAGTCTACACTTCGCTATGCACACATCGAGCAAACGATTAACAGCAGTGAACTAAGGTTGCTGGACTGGAACTGCCTCAGGTCGAAGGTCCCATGTCTCACTGATACAACGGAGACGGTCCACATGTGACTGTATACATAACAAAGGAAATAGTTGATTCCAAAATGGATCGTAATGAAGTACCTCTAATCACACCAAATCCCAACTACTCAAACCACCATTCTTGCTCGACAACATACAATGTAATGCATTGGAAATGTATCCGCTACTCGTCAATCCCGATGGTGCAAAGCCCCCCGAACCAAACGGACTTCGCCCACTTATACTAAACTCCCTATCGATTATCATATCACCAGCTGTGACAAACCTATTTAATAAATCACTCTCTGAAGGATCTATCTCCAACGACTGGAAATGCTCGATAGTGAGACCGATTCCCAAGGGTGGTGATCCGAGTAAATTAGAGTACTATAGACCGATCTGTTTGACTTCGATATTATCCAAAGTTCTCGAGCATGTTGTGTGCCTGGTGTCGTTTTTCGAATCGTTGGACGTATTGACACCAGCGCAACATGGCTTTACGGAAGGGCGATCCTGCATCACCAACTTGATGTACGCAAACCACCAGTGGGTACGAGCTCTCAATGAACTGAAGGATGTTGATGTGGTGTACATAAGTTTTAGTAAGGCATTTGACAGAGTGAACCATGAGGTACTCCTTCGTAAACTGAGGACCTACGGAATAGGTGCCACTCTACGTCGGTGGTTGCAGGAGTATATTGTGGGACGGAAGTGACGAGTACAAGTTAATGACTACCTGACAGACTGTTTGGCATTAATCAGTGGCGTGCTTCAAGGAACTGGACTTGGGCCAGTATTATTTCCTATTCATACCAACGATCTTCCGCAGCAGCTCCAGTCACCATGTGCCCTGTTTGCAGATGATTTGAAAATCTGGAGGATCATTGAGAACCAAGACGACTGCGCTCGCCTCCAGCATGACTTAGAGCGACTGTCAATGTGGTCTGCTGAAATGCAACTTTCTCTTAACGCCAGCAATTCTGAGTTCATCAGTATTACCAGACGTGCAAACACTCGATCATACACCTTGGACGGCCAGTTGCTCCACCCTAACACGTCTGTCAGAGACTTAGGAGTGCTCTCGCGACATGATATGAAATCACTAGAAAATA